CCAAGGGCTTTGCCCAGGGGCGGCCCCGGCCCCAGACCCCCCGGCCCAGCCCGGTCCGTGTCCGCGGGCGCCGTGCCCCGGTGACCTTCAGGGCCGGGCCGGGCGCAGAGCCGGGGGGCGCGGCCCGGGGGCGCGGAGCGGGCGGGGCTCACCTGGGGGGGCCGCAGGCGGGGCCCGGGGGGCGGCGGCAGCAGGGAGCCGCCCCGGGTCCGCAGCACCAGGCACCGCGCCGCCGACAGCGCCGCCATCTTGGAGAGGAGCCGGGGTCCGCCTGCTTCCCAGGGTGCACCGCGCGGAGCGGGCTACGGGGGCCGAGCGGGGAGGGGGCGGCGCTCCGCAGGAGAGGCGGAAAGGGCGGAGCTCGCAGGGCCCAAGGGCACAACTGATATCCGGTCACAGGGGTCACGACCCCGAGCCGGAAGCGCCGCGGAGCTGGAGCGCCGCCCCCACCGGAAACAGCCCCTGCGTTGGGGGTCGTGGGGTCATAGCCCCCCGGCAGCGCTGGGCGGGGTCGGGCCTAGGCCACGCCCCCACCCCGTGGCACCCCGCCCCCCCAGATCCCCCCACACCGAGTCCTCGGGCCGCCCCGGCTCCCCACGCCGGGCAGGGAGGGGAGAGCCCCGGCGGCTGCCCCGGGGCGGTGGTCAGGCTCCCCCACGCCGCCCCCGACAGAGCAGCAGGAAATCGCGGCGCTGGCTGGTCCACTCGCGTTTTCGGGGTGGACGCGGGCTTGGGGCGAAGCCCCCTCCCGCGCGGCGGCCCCGGGGCAAGGCCGGGCCCCCGCGCTCCCAGACCCCCCCCCCGCCGTTCCGGGGGGGGGGGGGCACAGCAGCGGGGGGGAGGCGGCCTGGGGGGCGATGGGGCCAATGCCCTTGAAAGCTCTGAACATCGGGGGGGGGGCGGGGCTGTGCTCCCCCGCGTGGCGCTGGTTCACTGCCAGGCACCGAGGAGGTGGGCACAGGGATGGGTGTTGCTCTATTCTGACCACCCCAGCAGTGGCTGCGTGGGGCAGGTTGATGTTGAATTGCACAGGGTGAACTGGCTGCCTCCTAACCCTGACTTCACCCCGTGTGTCTCACTGCAGGGCCCTGGGTGACTTCTCCACAACCCCCCCCCCCCACCTTCGGCCTGACCTCCCGCAGGAACCCCCCTCCCTGAACTGTCCTGCCAGGGCCTGCCCCTGCCATGCTGCCGCCAAGTGGCAGATGGGGAGAGCCAGCGTTGCTGTCCTAACCCCCCACCCCCACTTGCAGTGTATTTGGAATTGGATTGCCCCCCCATGGCAGAGCAGCTCCCTTCCTAACCCGTAATTTCCCCGAGGCTGGATCATTTATTTCCCACAGCTGGTCAGGACCCAGCCCAAGGACGGAGGCCCGTGGGCGCTGCCAGCACCGGCTATGACCCACCCCCACCACACTGGCCAAAGGCTTTTCTTGTTATTTTATTACAAAGATGAACACTCCCGGCACACAATCCCTGTGCATTCCCCCCGCCCAGTCCGGTGGCTGCTCTGGGGGCCCGGCCCACCTGTATACAGCGGAGGAGTGCGCTAACCTGCGTGCCCCACTCCTCTCCTCCCCCAGGGCTGAGGGAGGCATGCCCAGCCCACGCCTGAGGAAGAGCGGGGAGCACCCTCCGCTGCCCCACACATGTGGATTCAAGGGGACCAGCCTCTGCAGTGGCGCCCTGCAGTGCTGCCAACCTAAGCCCAGCCATCTGCCCTCTGTCTGTGGGAACAAGCAGGGCCAAAGCATCCCTGCTCCCATGCAGGCAGCCCAGCGCCCTGTGCCCCCCTTCCCCCGGCACCAGCTGGCAGGTGCCCCTCTAAGGCAAAGGTCCCAGCGTGCGATGCCCATGAACAGCTGAGTTCAGTGGAGCGCAGGCAGCGGGCGTCCCAGGCCCCCCTTCTGCTCTGGGACCATTACGGCTCCGCCTTCCCCAATAAGGCCACTGAGCACAAGGAAGGGGGACTGACTCCTGCTGCAGGCCCCAGAACAGCCCAAGGGCTCCCTCTCCTTCCAGAACAAAGACGCAAGGCTCCAGCCTGAGAACGTGGAATGGCTCCAGGGCAAGTCCCAGATCCTGGGATCCAGTGGCCAGGCGGGGGCCCAGTCAGCAGCTCCCCGCTCCCAGGAGATGTGGGGTCAGGCAGAGGGGCCCGGCTACTTCCAGAAGAGCACGTTCCAGAGCAGCAGCCAGCAGGGGTAGACGAAGAGGGCGATGAAGGGGAAGACGATGGAGCCGTAGAGGTAGTGGTCCAGCAGGCCCTCGGACACAGCCTGCAGGAAGAGCTGCCAGCACTCCAGCGCCGAGACGGGGTACTCGATCAGCTCCTGGTACAGGACGATGCTGAGCAGGAGGGTGACAGCTGGCGTGACCAGGACCAACAGCACTGCATACAGATACCTGGGAGACAGACACAGGCAGGGATCAGAGCGGGGCAGCCTGGGGTGCACCAGCCAGCAGGGCTGGGCCGAAAAGGGGCAAATCCCAGCACTCTTGCCCCGTTCCCTACAGCACCCCCTGCTGGGAGAGGCTGGGACTGGAGTGGCCAGGAGCTCCCCCACAACAGCCAGCACTCCTGCCCCGCTCCCTACAGCACCCCCTGCTGGGAGAGGCTGGGGCCGGAGTGGCCAGGAGCTGCCCCACAACTCCCAGTTCTCCTGCCCTACTCCCCCGATCAGGGGCTGCTATGAGAGGCTGGAGTAGCTGGGAGCTCCTGGGAGAGGCTGTGGCAGAGGGATGACCAATGCTAGCATAAACTTGATATTGTCTGAGACCCCTGTGGGCCTGGTCCCTGGTGGGGGAGGGGATTTCCAGCCCATCCCTTGGACTGGCTGTTGGCTCTCAAGGCACCCTGCCTGTACCCAAACAAGGATCCTGCCACCTGCACAGCGAGCCCACCTAGGATGAGACTGGCCACAGAGCCCCTGCCACTCATGGCCAGGCCTGGCTCAGGTGACCTTGAGCTGCCTCACTGGATGCCACGGGAAATGCGCAGGTGCCACTTACTTGGGGCCTTTGGGCTGGACAATGGCTGCAACGGGCACCATGGTGACAGCCAGCAGGAAGCCCAGGGAGAAGTTAATGAGGGCGATGCAGCCCAGCAGCATGGCCAGGTACAGCAAGGAGAGAAGCTTCAGGGTCATCCAGCCGCGTTCACTCCCACAGCCAGTCAGCACCCTGCAGAGCAGAGAAACGGCTGTCAGGCCCCGCGGACACCTGCCTAGCCCCCACTCTGGCCAGGGCTGAGAAACAGCAGAGAACCAATGGTACCATTTTCTATAGCGCCCTGTGACAGTCTATGTTCACCCTTTTTACACAATTCTGTGGATTCTGTACAAAGCATGCCTTGTGAGGTATCGTGAAAACTCATAATGTGCTGATCATTATTGTCCTGGTAAAATATGTGTGGCAACATTGTAGGTAAAGGTCACAGAATCGTGGGATTGGAAGGGACCGCAAGAGGTCAATTAGTCCAGTCCCCTGCACTCATGGCAGGACTGAGTATTATCTAGACCATCCCTGACAGGGGTTTGTCTAACCTGCTCTTAGGCCTTGTCTACACTAAAGGGAAAAGTCGATCTAACCTATGCAATTTGAGTTACGTGAATAGCGTTACTCAAATAGACGTAGCTTAGATCTACTTACTGCGGGGTCCACATTATGCAACGTCGACGAGAGACGCTCTCCCATCGACTCTCCTTACTCTTCTCAATCAGATGGAGTACAGGAGTCAACAGGAGAGTGATCGGCAGTCGATTTAGCGGGTCTTCACTAGACCCGCTAACTCAACCACTGATTCATTGATTGCCGCAGCGTTGATCTCGGGTAAGTGTAGACAAGTCCTTAAAAATCTCCAATGACGGAGATTCCACAACCTCCCTAGGCAATTGATTCCAGTGCTTAACCACCCTGACAAGAAGTTTTTCCTAATGTCCAACATAAACCTCCCTTGCTGCAATTTAAGCCCATTGCTTCTTCTCCTTAACCTCTGAGGATAGGACAACAATTTTTCTCCTTCCACCTTGTAACAACCTTTTATGTTCTTGAAAACTGTTATGTCCCCCCTCAGTCTTCTCTTCTCCAGACTAAACAAACCCAATTTTTTCAGTCTTCCCTCACAGGTCATGTTTTCTAGACCTTTAATCATTTTTATTGTTCTTCTTTGAACTTTCTCCAATTTGTCCACATCTTTCCTGGGTGAGTGACGGATCTCGTCACGACCCTCTGCCTCGCCTCCCGGGACCCGCACGTACCTGTGTGTGTTGTGTGGCAGCGCCAGTCCGGCCACGTAGATGGCAATGACCGTCAGCACCACAGCCTCCGACTCCGAGACGGGGAAGTGCTGGGTGGCCATGTGCTGGCCCAGCACAGGCAGGAAGTAGAGGGTGAGGCCCGTGGCATGGCAGATCAGCAGGGGTGGCACCAGGGTGAGCAGGCCAGGACGTGACTCCTGCGGGGCGGGAAGGGGGGAAGCTAAGCGGGGGCAGCTGAACCAGGGCCAGAGCCAACCCTATCAGGCCTTACCCCCGGGGGAATCTCAGTTGCTGGGGGAAGGGGGACCCCAAATCTGCCTCCCTGTTCCAGGGAAAGGGCCCTGGGCAGCTTCAAGCCCAGCCCGAGTGGCAGCTCCCGAGGGGCTGGGCCCGGGCCCATCAAACCAAGGGGCGGGGGCTGTGCTGGGGAGGGTTACACAGCAGGGCGGCCCAGTGGGGTGGTCGCTTGGCTTGGGAGCTCCCTGCCCTGCCCCAGACGCCCTGGGGACCCTGGTCAGGTCCCCAGTCCCGATCCATGCAGGGTGATGAGGGCAAAGATTGGGAGGAGCTCACATACTAAGGTAGCAGACACCACAGACGTCCCTTAGACGGCCAGGAACCTGTCAGGGGCCCCACTGAGAGGCCGATGGGGGAGGAAGGCAGTAGCTACCCTCGGGCCTGGAGAGCTCCAGGAGTGGCTGGGGCAGGGCCCTGCGACCCCTCACCTCAGCGGCAGCGTGGACAGCACCCTGGTCTCCATCGCAGAGCTGCTCCTCGGGGCCCGCATCACATTTACTCAGCTTCATCCACAGGTCGAGGGCGTGGGGCAGAGTCAAGGAAACCAACCACACAGCAGCCCGACCCACCGGGCCCCCGCACCGACCCCCACCCAGCCATGGGCAGATCCCACTCCCCAGAGCCAGGCGCAGCCCCTACCTCCCAGAGCGAGCTCCTCGCGGGGACCCAGGCTGGGGAGAGGGCAGTGGGGGCACTGCACAGTGGGGAGGGGTTCCCTTCGGCCAGCCTGGGGAACACGCC